GGCTTAATTTGGTTTAACGCTGCTAAAGTCGACCTAAACCCATAGTGTAGACCAGGCCTGAGTTCACATGTCTTCCTCTGCTCTTCATCCTCTACTCCTAGCCCCAGACACTAGCCTGACACTCCGTGCCCTGCAAATGCCCCTGCATCTGCCTCCTATGTTAAAGAGGCTGTTAGACCACCAGACATGACAAGATCCTTTCTTTCTGTAAACACTCAGCTTTAATTCATTAAAAGGTTTTGTTAAAAATAGGGCTGTCAAACAATTTTTAAAAATCGCAAGATTAAAAAACTAGTCAGGGCTAATCACAGTTTTAAGCACACTGGTAAACAATAATAGAATACCTATTTAAAGTTATTATAATAGTTATTATAATAGTTTTGGGTGTTTTTCTACATTTTCAAATATCTTGATTTCAATTACAACACAGAATACAAAGTGTACAGTGCTCACTTTGACTTTTTAACAGTGCAAATATTTGTAATAAAAAATAATATAAACAAAAGAAATAGTATTTTTCAATTCACCTCATACAAGTACTGTAATGCAATCTTTTTATTGTGAAAGTGAAATTTACGAATGTAGAATTTCTTTTTTACATAACTGCACTCAAAACCAAAACAATGTAAAATTTTAGAGCAGTGGTGGGAAACCTGTGGCCCACGGGCCGCATGTGGCCCATCAGAGTAAGCTGATTGTGGGCCGTGAGACATTTTGCTGACATTGACCATCCACAGGCATGCCCCCCCCCCCACCTCAACAGCTCCCAGTGGCTGCGGTTCACCATTCCCGGCCAGCAGCGAGAAGTCCCCCAGACAGCCTAGAGTGGCTGCAGAGGAACAACCAATCAGAGGGGCTGATGGAGCAGCTAATCTGGGGCCAGAAGGACCCTATATAAGACAAGTAACAGAGCAGAAAAGTCAGTTGCTGGTTAGAGCTTGAGGAGTGAAGACGGGGTGACTAGCTGGCTGGAAGAGCAGCAGCTCTGTGGAGAGCTCACTGCAGACAGGACTGAAGCCCAGGGAAGGCTTCTGAAAACTGGGTGCCTGGCTAGTGGGAGGAGCAACAGGACCAGTGGAAGGTCATTATGGGCAGCCTGAAGACCAGGGGGACTGAGCACAGAACCTGGCCATGCCAGCAAGGGTACCAAGATGGGCCCCAGGTGTCTGGTTGAAGACTGAGCCAGGGAGACCTGCTGAAACACAACCAGCTGCGGGTACTGAGATGAGCCCTGGCTGGGTGGTTGCAGAAGGTAGTGCCTCTGGGAGAAGCTTTAGAGCTACAGCCCCGTACCAGGGCTGAGCTAAGAACTTGGACTTTAAATCCTGGAAGGGGAGACAGTGTATGTGGCTCGGCTGGAGGACTGAGTTGCTGAAGACCCCCTGAGAGAACCATCGGCTGGGGGGTGGGGTGGGGTGCTGACCCCGTTACACCTAGTTAAAAATGTTACTGTATGCTGGTGAATTTTACTGCTTTGGAGGCAATGTGTTCCATTCGTAGGGCAGGAAGTACTCTGCATTAGTCAGTAGCACGCTAATGAAGGACTAGTCTTAAGGGAGTCCAAAGGGAATCCTGTCTCATCCATGACAGACAAATGTCAGATGCAACAGGGGAGTATCCAAAAGAGTAGGAATGAACAGAGGGATCCTTAAGACTCCCAGATGGAAACACACAACTTAAAGGGTGAGGGAAACCACTCCTCCTGCCAAAAAGAATTTGGGGTTTTTTACATTATTTTTTTTCCCTCAGAGTAAAACCTAAATTCGCTTTCCAGCTGAAAGCACCAACCATCCTTAGTAAGTTTTTGTGCATCCAAAAAACCAATAGTTTTCTTTGCATCTAAGTTTTACTTTAAATGTGATAATTATTACTGTGATTTATCATTTGTATTAGGATAGTACCTGGAGGTGTCTTTGTGCTAGGCACTGTACAGATACACAGTAAGAGACAGTCCCAGCCATGAAGAGTTTACATTCTAAACAGGCAAGGTAGACACAGTGGGACAAAGGAAATATTCTCATAATCTTTTATAGAATCTCAGAGTTGGGGGACCTCAGGAGATCATCTAGTCCAACCACCTGCTCAAAGCAGGACCAATCCCCAGACAACTTTTTGCCCCCGATCCCTAAATGGTCCCTCAAGGATTGAACTCACAACCCCGGGTTTAGCAGGCCAATGCTCAAACCACAGAACTATCTCCATGTCATAGTTTAATAACGGTCTATTTCATTTCTCAGGGCTGTGTGGCTGGGCAGTCTGTGGGTGGACAGGTGACTTGACTGAAGTGCTGATGTGCACTGGCTAGTCTCTGCTTCCTACAGCCTAGACAGGGCTATGGTAAACTAAATGTAAATTAGCTGCTTTCCTTTGGGAACAAGAGGCTTTTAGGTTAAAACCAAATTTTTTGTCCGAATGTGATCTGCTCCCTACCCTCACCACACCCTCATCCCTTGACTTCTATTCACACAGCCCAAATCTCCTTTCTCACAGTAACATAGAGCGTGTACTTGATATGAGGCACCAGAGGCAAGCACTTTTCAAGAACTAAAGAGACAGGAAGTAATAAACATTAAAGAATAAAAGATTCCTCTTTTTATTAACATAATTTTACTATTTTGTATACATTACACAAATTATAACAATCATTTGCAAGGGCAAATTACAGGGTTATCGTGCACAAAACACAATATTTTGAGACAGTTTAGTGGCAATTCCTCCCATAGTCGCTTTACTCTAACATAACACAGTTTCTTTGGAATAGAAACCTCTTAACACTTTTCTGGGCTGAAAATGAAAGGAACGTGTGTAATGGAGGAAGGAAGGTGTCGTGTTACAGGCATAGCATAATATCCCTTTAAATAGATTCTGAGCCTTTTTGTTCCATTCCCCATGTTCAGGTTTTTTTTAGAAGTTGCCAGAACCCAGTCAGAGCAGCAGTGTGTACATGGAGGAATGCCTGGCATGTTGTGTATTTCCAACAAACACATGATTGGACCCCACTGTACACATGTGGTTCCTTTATATTACGTTTGTGTAAAGAGAAAAAGATAAGATCAAAACTGGAATTACACTAAACTATAAAGTACATATTGGGCCAGATCCTCAGCTGGCGCAAATAGGCATAGCTCCAGAAGTCACTTTAGATCAGTGGAAGATGTGATCCATTTTTGTTTACCAAATCTCCTGAAATAATGCAGGTAAATCTCTGTCAATAGCATTGTCTGCAGCATGTACAAGCAAATGCCAAGTGTACTTCAAAATCTCTTCTCAGAGAAGGCATTGGCTTGGCCCTGAAGGAATGCCCAGGCAAAGTGCTAGAAAACCAAACCACACTCTGCTGGCTCAGAGCACTGACTTTCCCATTTAAACAGCTGCAATAAGCTCATATTATGTGTTGCAGTGAAAAGTCTGCCAGGCTCTTGCTACCCACATGTAATCACGCTATCTTTAGCATTCCGTTACACATTTGCTATGTGTACCAACACGCAACAGGAATCTACACAGTGCTGACGGGTAAATGGCCAATAGTGCTGATAGCATAACTTCAGAGGATCTCAAGGAGACTCTGTTAAAGAACGAAGCAGACACAATGCTAAGGCCAGGCCTAAACTACAGGCCTATATAGGTATAGCTACGTCGCTCAGGAGTGTGAAAAATCCACACCCGAGCGACATAGTTATACCAACCTAACGCCTGTGTAGACAGCGCTATGTCGTCAGAGCTTCTCCTGCCAACACAGCTATCACCTCTCAGGGAGGTGGATTAACTATGCTGACAGGAGAAGCTCTCCCACCGGAGTAGGAGCATCTTTCAGTTAAGCACTACAACCTTCCTAAAATATTTGAGGAGAACTTTGCAAAACACTGCACTTATCTTGGGACAGCCAGGATCTGGTAGGGGTGTGGGGTGAGTGTCGCGGCAAAGTGTCCATCCTCTCGAGGCCTGGCCTGGCCCTCAGGGAGATGGAAGGTGAAATGCTGCAGCAGGCTAGTGAAGAAGAGGAAGAGCTCCATCCTGGCTAGTTGTTCCCCCAGGCAAACACGACGACCTGCAAGCGTGGGAGTGAGAAAAGAGGGAGGAGGCAGAGAGGAGGAGGATACAATAACTAGTCACCGAAGGAGTAAGACCCTTACTGCTCATGCACAGGTTGGAGTGAACAGAGAATCTGCCTCCATATGCAGCAGATGGTGAGTCTCCCTCTTCTCAGACCCTGTGTGAACAGGAACAACTAGGAAATACTTCTCCAGACCGATCAATGTTCTATTTAATCTGATTGCCTGTCTCTGATGGTGGCCAGCACCAGACGCTTCAGTGGAAATCATAATACCAAGGACTGTCAGTTGATTTGGAGAGGGGAATTACTGCCTCATTAGCCTGACTCAAAAGGGTCAGAGACACTCGAATACACAGGGCTAAATCCTCAGCTATTAAATTGGCATAACTCCATTGATGTAAAAGGATCTATGATAATTTACACCAGTTGAAGATCTGTCCCATACGCTCTTTGTGGAATTCTTGCCTTCTAGAATCGAAATGGGCAAATAAATGCCTTTAGATAGAGAAATCTGAGGTGGAACAACATGCCCATGCCACCAGGCAGGAGATTCTGGTTCAAGTGCAATCTGGGGACATTGGTTTCCTGGACTTGAGGCAAATACAAGTGGTGCATCTTCACCAATGACCCATGTCAGGCTAAACCACTGCAGCAAGCCTTTGCAGTACTTGTACAAACAGGATCACCTCACCGCCAGCCTGAAAGACATCACTGGTGCCATATCTACTCCCATAACCACTGCAAAATCCTTCTCTTGGTTGTTAGGAACCTTTCTGACAACACCCCCATCCTCCTCTTTGGACTGTTCTCTTTGAAGATAGTAAAATGAAACTTTGAAGTCTATGAGCTGATACCTGAAGTGAATGAGTTATGGGTCAGACCATGTTATGAGCTGGGTGAAACCTTGTGCAACACAGGGCCAGAAAGGGTTACACAGCTAGCTGGCTAATTGACCCAGATTCAACAAACATATTAATAGATAATAATAGTGTTTTTATGCGTTTAGATATATATCGTCAACCTCTAACAATGTAACTGAATGTCCTGTATTCTGTTAAGTCAGAGATCAAAGGGAGATGTTAACATTTAGATGAACTGTGAATGTAGTAATAGCACTGTCTTCATTTCTCTTTGAAGTATGTAGTAAACTGCCTGTAAATGGCAGGAAATGGGCAGTTGCCTTCTGTTAATCCCTGCAGCTAATTACCAGTGGTGCTTAGGAAA